TCTCCAACATGGACGTGTTGGAATCATGTTGAACATATGTTGATCAACAGTTGAAAACATATAGCCCGCATGTTGACAAACGGTTGAAAACATGCAAATGGCCCGTCAAAACGATTGAGCCAACCATTTCACCCTCTTCATATGTTGGTCCCAACTTGTGTCGAAGTTGAAACCATGATGAAAATTTGTCACAATTTTTCTATTGTTGAAAGCGCCCTTCTCCGTACCCAGCTAGGCATTGGCAAACTCATGAAGCTGAGAGCCTAAGCTCTCCTTTAGGATCGTTTGTATTATATAAAAACCTAACTCGGATACGAAGAAGCTCTACGCCCTTTTTTCCTGGTCAGGTTTTCTCTCTGCTTAGGTCAGTAAGTAGTTAGTGAAGAGTATGTAGTGTCGGATAAAGAGGCTCAAGCAAATCGTTGAAACAAAAGCATTGTGACGAGACACAAAACACGGTTGGAAGATGAAACTTTTACCTCTCGCGTTTGGACTGCCTTGGACCTCCCTTGGAGAATGTTCATCGGTGCTCTCCAGATAGCGTTGTTTAGCTCAGAAACCATAGTTACAATGTAGAACCATCATCGTCATTACCACTTTTATGGGGTGGGCACTTCTTCGGCCCTCACACTTAATCCACCCTTACTACCTCACCAGTATCTCACACTTCTCCTATAAAAAAAAACCGTACTCCTTCCAAAGGACTGTTCACCTCTTCTCCTCTACTCACAGTTCCTGCACGGAGAATGCAATACGGGTTTTTCTACCAAGAGTATAGAATCCCCAGTCAATAAAGCCTATCTACCCATTTTGCCCCTACCCTACTACACAAAAGTGCAACTCAGGCATGCTTCATCGGAAGGACGCTGTCAGTGGATCTCAACCTTCTTCATTTCTTAACTGTTCAAGATTGTTCTTCTTGTTCATACACAGGTACACTGCGTTGTGGATGCTTTGAAATCTTCAATAAGCCCGAGCTAAAGCTCCGCCTCTCCTTTGCCAAAGACTATGGACAAACTTGTGTCCTCTTGTGCTCGACACTTCTCAAGTTGACAGCTGAAAAAAATACGTCTCGCCTAGTGTTGTGCCCACTGGGCTATGGAGTTGAGCCCCACGTAAATGAAAAAAACAAACCTAATCGTTATCGCGCGCGTGTCACATGAGCAGAGCGCTATGACGCTGACATCTCGCTTCATCCTCCACTTTGGTATTTTTTTATCACGATTGAAACTAGAGGGCACACTCAAGTTTCAATTGAAGTGGTGTGGAACGAGGCCCATTGACTCAATGGGACGTGAGTGGTGTCGTTGATGATCGGTAAATGAGTGAGGAGGATCAATCCTGGAGCAATTGGACTGGATGTGCAGAGACCAATGGGTCGGGAGGTGACCTGGGGATGGCGAGCCAGTTGGAACAGCGAACGAACTCTCACTACCCTGTCTCTTATACACATCTAGATGTGTATAAGAGACAGGAACGAGGCCCATTGACTCAATGGGACGTGAGTGGTGTCGTTGATGATCGGTAAATGAGTGAGGAGGATCAATCCTGGAGCAATTGGACTGGATGTGCAGAGACCAATGGGTCGGGAGGTGACCTGGGGATGGCGAGCCAGTTGGAACAGCGAACGAACTCTCACTACCCACGTGGCGAGTTGTCGAACCTTTTTTTTTTTTTTTTTTTGAAAAGTGACTTCACAGTAACCAGGACAAAAAATGAGGTCTGGGACCTCACAATTCGACCAGGAGTTGGGGCGTCCTCGGAGACGTGATTTCAAGGATTTTTTCATCGTTCCACTTGTCCTTGGAGCCAATTTTCGTAAAGAAAATGTGAAAACACTCCGAGGACAAATCCTCGAGCTTCAAGGATTCCCAGGCAAATTGTCCTCGTGAGGTCCTTTGGAGCCCTAGGATCCGCGATTCACGGGGTGTTGGTGTCAAGCGTAGAAGGAAAACTGGAGGCAGAAGGTGGTCCAGTCGTGGTCCAGGGGCCGAACGACGGATATTGTCGGACTTCAACGTCATGGACGTCCTCCAATGGCCTAGTCCGTTTACCATTGGCGTTCGAGGCGACGGGGCGCGTCGTCATTTCCAGCCGCCTCGTTTGGGGTCCGTGGTGTTCCGGTGGGGTCTCCAACGATCGTTCATTTTTGAAATTGTGGTCGTGGTGGCGGGCACTATGTCGTGTGCACTCTTGAAGTGTTTTGGGCTATCGTGCGTCGTCACTGTGTGCACATTCCACAAAATTTGTGCCCACACTATCCTCTCTCTTGTGTCGTTCATGGCTGACATGCACCGCAGACTGCCACTGTTGCTGCTCATCATCGCGCTGCTTTTCTGGTGGTTGTCGTGTTCCACTTCTGTTTCCTGGGGCGACTTCCTAAGAGGAACCAGATGAGGCAGTCGGCGAAGAAGGGGACCAGGATGGACAAACGGCTAACAAACAGTACACCACCTGTAGGGGTGGGGGGGTCATCACGTCACCGAAGTGTTCCCGTGGAAGCACGCAGGCGACCATCGTGTCATTGCACACCCGCAGATCTTCGCACGTCCCGCCCGTTCTCCGTTTCATCGAACATCTTGGCATTGCTCGACGGAGCACACCGGAGCCCAGTGCGGCGCACAGTTGAGCAACAGCGTCCGAAGTTGCCACACAGTCTGGGGCATCGACCACTCTTTGTAGCAGCATCCTTTGCCTGCGCCTCGGTAGCTTTGCCTTCATGCGGTTGGATGCTTTGTCTACCTGACAACGGCCAACGACGGCCAGCGCCACCGCCACCATCCCCGTTTTCTCAATGGACGTCAACAACGCGCACCCATCTCCCCCCCCACTCTTCATTGCCCACGGACTTCGGAAAGACGTGGTCACCCGCAAGCCTGCCTCCTTCCCCGTGTACGTGCGTTCTCAGCGTCCACGTCCAAGCGCCACGTCAGCTGCACTTTACGCGTCCTCAGGGCGACCGAACGGATGATGGCACAACGGAGGTCTTTGCCCACCGAAGCTCGCGCTCCAAGCTGCCTCGCGCTGTCACTCAAGGAGCCGACCTGGCGACGGACCTCTTCGCCGGACACACCTTCCACCGCACACCGCATGTCGTTGTCGTCACTCAACCGGACGGGAAGGAGACAGTGTGAAAGGGATGACGAGGAAAACAACATATCCACTGCCTAGCCGCCGTGCTGTGAATGCCTGTGTGCCGCCTAGCCGTCGTCCCTCATCGGAACTCAAATTTCAAATTCTGGACGAGGACATTCCCACCTTTTTTTTTTTATTATCGGCCCACGATGTATTCACACCCGTCGCCTGTGGACCAGCATGCCTCTTGAGCGGACATCCCAAACCGCACCACGGACACACCTCCCGCGCCCGCGTATAATCATGGAAAATTGGTCGCGGGAAGTCCCCGAGGATTCTTCCCCGGAGCTATTTCCCGAGGATAGGTGGAACGCGGCCGCCAAAATTCCAAAAATTTCCCCAGGACGCCCTGAGGAGTGTCTAACCAGGCCCTTATCCTGGCAACCTCAGCCAGTTTAGCTTACGAGCATGAGCTCCCCCAAGTCCCCAAGGAGCACTGCTGAAACCATAGAGGCCAAGAAAGATCTAGGAACAGAGAACGCCAGTTCTAGGCAGCTTTCCTGAAATCCTAGCCTCAAAAAGGAGATGTCACAGACCTGCAAAACCACACAAACCACGAACCCCCAAAATAAATCACGCCTCAGGCCTCTACGAAGCCGAAGGTGTCGAACCTTTCAATGCCACGAGTGCAAACCTTTTCGACCTGATTGCGAAAGCAGGCAACTGTATCACTCTGTGTTCTCTGACCTGAGCGTGCTCCGCCCGTGCTATCGCGTGCGTTTTGTCTTTGTCTCTCGGGCATTCCGAGAACCTTCTGTGTGTGTTGTGTTTGGATTGCACATACGCACACGCTTCGTAATCGGCATAGTAGCGTAGGCGAGATCGGGCACGCGAATGTGAGCCAGGTGTATGTGTGGCATTGAGGTCGACCGCTGTCTTCTAAGCCCTCGGTGGATCGCAGTGTTGGTGTGGCTGTACACCTAAGAGAGTGAATGCAAGGGGCCCGCGAAAGCTTTCGAGGTTGGTGTGTGGGCACTAGAGAGAGAGAGAGAGAGAGAGAGCGAGCACAGGCGGCGAGCGTGGTTCAATGATAAGTTGGCACCGGGGGCAAGCTTCAGTCTGATAAAGCTAAGAAAAGAAAGGTCAGTGTTTCGCTCTCGTCATGCAATCACACAACTGCTTCTGCCTCCTTTACTAGCGACTAGCGAGTAGCGACTACAAGATTTTTCTCTTATCTGCCTACTCCCTTGTGAGCCTTTTGTTGCCATGGCTTCTCCTCACGTTTCCCCTCCATCTCGCCAGCGGGACCAGCCTTGGTCCTATGAGTTTCCATTCTTGCCGACACAGATTCCCCTCTGTGCTTGCTCTTTGCGAGAAAAGCGGGAAGGTTGGGGAGTGGTGCTAAAGTCGAGCGGAGGAGAGGGAGGATAGATGGATGGATGGATGGATCAGGATGAGGGGGAAATATAAGAGGACCCCACTCCGTATTTATGAAGCCGATATTGATGGTCTATTTATTCGTGAAAGGATTTTGATTAGCCGAAAATAATGTCAGTCGAATCCGTTTCATTCTATATGCGAAATACAGTGTAATAGCTCCGGTCGTAACGTCGGTGTTAGCTCTGGAATTAGCGCCGGCAGTAGGGATGTTGGGTTGGGATTATGATTATCATGAATTTATTATCATAAAGTAAACAACAAATAATTGGCGTGGTACTGTTATATGGTTGTCGTTTTCGTTATCATACGATTATACTCACGATTATTAGTTGAGTGGTAGTGATCAATCACCTCATGATAATATTTACTTCTCTCATAATCAAAATATTAAAATTATTAGTTAATCATTACATACCATATTGTCATACTGAATTTCATGTATATTGTTTCATTTGTGTGATGGCTTATTATCGTCGTCATTGGTTCGCTCATCACTATTAATCAATGTATATATATCGTCATTGGTTCGCTTATCACTATATATATCTGTTTGTGACGATATGCCCCTCGTTTGTTGTCCTCTTCTCTCTCGCTGCCTACGGTTTACCGGGCAGTTCTGTTTGTGACGATATATATATATATATATCATCACATATATATGAGAGCGCAAAAGCGAAAAAAAGGAAAAGAATGAATTCGTTTTTTAATCTCTTCTTCCTTACAACTCCCACTGTTCAGAACCTCTTGCGTACAAGGCCGCCCACGTGGATGTAGGTTGAGCGGCGGCTGCCCCCACCCCCGTGTGTCATATCGACCCACTTGCACACAGCCAGAAGGCAAAGAGGCAAAGAAAAGAGGAAGGGAACAGCCAAATAATACAGAACAGGGGGCAACAAAACAAATCCCAGATGACACGTCCCACATGCAAGCACCGCCCCAACTCACAGGCCAAACGACGGGACGAGACCAAATATCGATATATCGTCATTGGTTGCCGGGAACTGGCATGGTGTCTGGGAGGCCTGCTTTTGAGGCACGGTTGGTTCATGCCACACCCTCGGGGGGGGGGGGTGTGTTTGAGGGGTTTTTTTGGGGGGGGGAGGGTTGACTGCTGCACTCAGAGGACTCTGTCAACTGCTTCCTCTTGCCCCTGTCATCTCTCACCGGCGAAGCATCGGTCTGTCGTGCATGCATGTTATCGCTGTCGTCGTTGGTCTTTATAAGCCAGCATTATCCCTGATAGAACTTTCATTTCCGGTCCTGCTGCTGCCCCTATACGTTCCACGGTCCAAGTTGTGCTTTAGGAAAGTAGACCGGTGTCTGCGCGCCTTCCACGGCGCAAGTTGTTGGAAAGTAGACGGGTGTGTGCGCGCTCTCTTCCCGCTCAACCACTCTAAAACGTGTGGAACTTTGGACCCTGAGAAGGAGAATATGTGACAAACAAATGCAAGAGGAGGAACGAGGAGGAAAAGAGAAGAGTGGAAGGCGAGAGTAAGTTGTCAGCAGACAAAAACAAACGAAGACGTAAGTGGAAACAAGCCATCCTTTCTTCCTGGATCCCGTCTCTCTCTCTCTCTCTCTTTCTCTCTTTCTCTCCCTCTCTCTGTGCAATCCGTATCCATGGATTATCCTGTGCTGTTCCCTCCCTTCCGCCCCCCCGTCCCCCCCAAACTTTCGTCGCCACCATCTGAGCCACCCGCCCTACCATGTACCGGAAGTTTTCCTCCCGCCGCCCTCTGCCCTTGTAACCATCCCCGTTTCCCTTTCGTCCGTTCCATTCTCCAAACCACCTTATCTGCCGCCGTTGTGCCTGTCTCTTATACACATCTAGATGTGTATAAGAGACAGCACACACACACACACACACACACACACACATACCATCACACACGTGCGTAGTGTGGTAGTGTATATTTTCATATTGTAGGGATAGATTTATTCGATATTTATTTATTTATTTATTTTCTTTGCTCATTCTATTCGAGGGAAGTAGCATGAGGTAAGCCGCGCGGTTGAAGACTAATGTGTTCTTTCTCATCCTCGTCGCCGCCGTCGTTACCGTCGTCGTTGTTGTCGTCGTCAGTCGTCGTCGTTGTTGATGTCGTCGTCGGTTGTCGTCGTTGTTGATGTCGTCGTCGGTCGTCGTCGTCGTCATCGACTCGACACTCCCTAATCCTAAACGATATGCAACATACTGTGACCAGCACGGGGAGCTTGATCGGCATATGTGAGCCTTCCAAGTTCCTCGCGGATAACAAGGTAAGTCATCCCCTTTTCCTTCATTTCTCCCCTCCTTCCTTTTCTCCTTCTTCTTCTTTTTCTTTTTCTTCTTCTTCTTCTTCTTCTTCTTCTTCTTCTTCTTCTTCTTCTTCCCCTTTTCTTCGATTCCGAGCGCGCTGTCTCTGCTCCCCCGCGCGTGTACCCATCATCTTTGTCATTCGTTGCGCGTTCTCTCTTTGCTCTCACCGCGTGGCCATCTCCTTCTTGCGCACTATCTCCGCTGCTCTGAGCTCCCCCCCCTACCGCGCGACCATCTCCACCCTCACGCCCGCTCGATCCTCGCGATGCTTGCTCTACTTCGCCCCTTTCTCCCGAGGTCGTGACCCACTATTGAGCGGCCTTCTCGACTTCGAAGTCGAGGCTCGTGGGGTATCGGGGTGTTCGATGAATCCGTCGCGAATCTCACGACAGATTCATCAAAACAGACTTTCTAAAAGAAACTACAGATCAAAAGAAAAGAAGAAAATAAAAATAATAATGATAATAATAATAGTAAAATGAAAGAATCTAATAAAATAAATAAATAAAAAGTAAACAAAAGAAATCTAACTGTTAACTACCCCGTTGTGCCAACTGTCACAACGGGTCTAATCGTGGGTAACCCTGATTTCGAGGTCACGGGATCGAGCCCCGGTCGGGGCTAAAATTGAGCTCCTTGCAAAAAAAAGCCACCTCAGCGGTGGACTGGATTCGATCCCTGCATCCATCGCTAACATCCATGTGCTTGAACCTACTGAGCTAGCTCCCACTTCAAGTAGAAAGAAAGCAGCTCCACTATGTATATAGTAGCGGGGCTCAGTCCAACCAGCGGTCTGAGCCCGTTTTAGCCTGTGCGCGTGTGCACGCTTGCTGGCCTGCGTGTCTGCTTGTGCGTTCGTCGGCTTGAGTGTGTGTACGACCCCCAGGGGTACTTGGTTAACCGAGCGGCCGGAAGGGCCAGTACTTACCCACGGCCGCGACATCTGAGGGTCGCGGCGAGAAACACTCAAGTGGTAGGTAAGTCGGTACCACACCAAGTAGAGGTAGATGTGCCGAGTACCTGACTTGGAGACCGAGTAGGGAAAGATGAAAGTTAAAAATGTTAAACATCTGGTACCGGTAGACAGACAGGTACCAGGCCAAGTCTCAGTGTGTGTCGCAGATTTACCTGACACAACATTACCCCAACTGACCCCTCGACTTCTTCTGTCGAGGGGTATTACTACTGATCCTAATCATCGCAGTGCGCGTCATAACAATGCGTGCGTATACTTTTTGAAATTTTCTCACCGATTCGCCCCCGGCTTCAACGACCGAGGAAATTGTTATCAAAGTGTCGCGTGGAAATGCGTACACTTCTAAGTTCATACCAACTCCGTCATGGCGGTTGGTGCGGTCGGCGTGTCGAATGTAAAAACATGGGCAAATACCCTTGTAAGGGTATTTGGTTCGACAGCGGGCCTTTGAAAAAAAAGGCACTTGTGCTATGACGGGCAAACAAAACTACCCGATACCAGCATAGGCCGACACACCAACAAAAAACGCAGGGCCACAATGAAGAGGCACCGTAATGACACGATAGCAAAAACGAAGGGGCNCCCCCCTCCCCCCCAGGGGAACACTTCCTCTACCCGGGGTCACATTTCGTTTTCGATCGTAATGTTCTTCCCTTAGTATTCCCTCCACAGGGGACGTGTTTTCCCGCCTTCAATGCTTGGAGTACAAATCTTCTCGTCAGTGTCCACTTTTCCCGCCAATGCCCTCCGCTCCCGCCGCTCAAGCGGTTGTGTTTGACGCTTTCGTCTTGCACGTCATCCGTTTGCCCTCTTCTCCGCCAGGCTTGCGCCGCCATATTACCCATCTTTCTTGCCTTAACTTTCCCCTAGTAGTCATCTTCATTCGCTCCAGTGTCGTTCTTTTGTCCCACCATGCATTCCTCGGTCACGCCGTCGCTCAGCTCATCCTTTCTCTACCCCGCCCCCTTGGACCCACCTCGCGAAGACGTATTCTCCGTACAACATCTGGGGGTCGGTCCCCCACTTATCCTTGGACCTTTTTGATCGTGTCCCATTCTCCCTCGCCCACTGTATCCTTTCCCCTTCCCCCTCCTCATTGTTGTCTCGAGAGGGAGAACAGCCCCAACATAGTGCTTCCTCTGGTGGGAAGAAAACACTTTTAGAAGCTTTGGAGTACTATTTTTTGCGTTCTTAAAGTTGTTCCTTTGCCGTGCCTTGCTTCCTTGCCACGGTGTCTGGTTCCTGTTCCTGATTTGGAAGTAATGGTTTGGTCTCTCTCTCTCTCTCGTTTTTTTCATCTGTGTTGTGTGTGTGTGTGTGTATGTGTGCTTGCGTGTGTGTGTATGTGTATGTGTGCGTGCGTGTGTCTGTGTGCGTGCGTGTGTCTGTGTGCGTGCGTATGCGTGCGTGTGCGTGTGTGTGTGTATGTGTGTGTGTGTGTGTGTTGGGGGGAGTCGGCGGTACGCTACATTTCAGCAGCTATGGCGGACGGCGGGGAAGAGCCTGTTGATCCCAAGGCTGAGATTGAGGAGTCATGCAAGCCCAAATGCGTGAAGCAGCTTCTGCAGTATCAGGTAAGTCTTTCTACCGTTTATTATTGTTGTGAACAAGTCGGGGCAGGCAGCGGCCCTGCAGTGGCAGGAGGAAGATGAGATCCACACACGTGTCGAGTGTTTGTTTGTGTCTTTGGAATTTTTACTGTTTGCAACATGGACGGGAGGCACACCTCCTTCTCCTCCCCGTCTTCCTCTACCACGATATCCTCTCCTCCGCTTCTTCCTCTTCCTCCTCCCCCTCCTCCTCTTACTCTCCCTCCTGCTCTGCCACCCCTTTCCGTGTTTCTTTAGCTTTGTGTGTGTTGTATGCTCAACTCCACAAAAAAGGAAGGCTTTGCCAAACTGTAAAAGCATGACTGTGCCAGACTGTTTCGTCCGACTTTTACCGACTCATCAGGAGCTTGGACCTCGACAGTCTGCCCAGAATGCATTCGACTGGCTGATGGATGAGGACTCACCACCTCGCCCAGAGCTAGCGATATCCTCGAGGAAGGCGGGAGAGTGTGTGTGTGTGTGTGTGTGTGTGTGTGTGTGTGTGTGTGAGAGAGAGAGAGAGAGAGAGAGATGAATGTATCTCCAGTACAGAAGTCGAATGTTGAATCGCAGAGTGAACACATGGATTTATTCTCTTTTTGTGTCGAGGTTTAGGGCTGGGCGGGATTTGTATCCTCGTCTCTTCTAACGGATTGATAATTTCCTCCGGATGGTTGGACACGTGTTTCGTGGAGATGTTTGCCACGCGTGGGTGTTCGTGGTATCACGGGCCGACATGCATGGTGTCTTAGAAGGAATCTCTCTCTCTCTCTCTCTCTCTCTCTCTCTCTCTCTCTCTGCCGAGAGGGCCGAAAGTGAAGGTGTATCCTGACAGGAATCGCGGACAAAGCAGCCGTCATGCTTCTAAAGACACAGGGAGGAGGAGGGAGATGGTGAATTTGCTTCTAAATACGAGGGGCGAGGAGGATGGAGGATGAAGGCGGAGGGAGGAGGAGGGGGGAGGAGGAGGGAGGAAGGGAGACGGCGATTACGATGGATGACAAGGCGGCGCCAAACTGATGAAGATGGAAAAGAGGGGGAAAGAGTAGCAGCAGAACAGAAATGCAACAACGACCTTAAGAGATCAAAGAGAAGGTCAGAGAGGCGAGATGAGCTTCTGCTGCTGCTGCTGATGATGATGATAGCCATATTATAGTCGATTGTTGCCTACGGGCAATATGGATGATGGTAACGAGAGTATAGTCGATCTTGCGGAATGAAACAACCCAACTCCTCGCGCGCGCTGAGTCGTTTTTTTTCCCAATTTGGAAGGTCTCGGTTTCGGAGAACGGCCTCTTTCCGAAACCAACACCTTCCAAATTAAAAAAAAAAAACGACTCCACGCGGTGCGAAACGGAAAAAGGACTCCGCCGGCGCAAAACGACCGACCGAAAAAAGAGAAGGCAATGCATGTGAAGCCGTCTGCCACGAAAATACTGCGCGGCACCTATTTTCACTGGGCCTGCAAGCACTGTCTACTGGGGACCCCTTTTTCGTTTATGTAGATGATTGCATCTACTCTGGGTCATGCATTTTGTGGTCATGATCGGGATCTAGTCTGTTTCGGGTCCGGATTGGAATCTATTCTGCTCTGGTTCAGGGTTCAAAGCTAATCTGCTGTGTAAGGGTTGGAATCTCATCTGCTCTGGGTCAGGGTTGGTCTGTAGTCTGGTCTGCATCTGCATTAAAATCATTTTTATTTTTTATTTTTTTGTTTCTCGTTGTTTGCGGGTATAATAACCTATGTACTCGGGGACATGTTAAAAAAATGGAAACGATCAGAGAAGGTTAGCATGGCTCTTGCACAATGATGACACCCATAAATCGAGAAATGCTCCAAATTTTTCGTGGCTTTGGCCAAGTGGTGTTAAAGATTGGAATCTAATTTTGCTCTGGGTCAGGATTGGAATCTAATCTGCCCTTGGCTTGTTGTATTGCTCTCAAATCTGAGCTAGCTTGGATGCCGGATCCTCTCAACCTGGTAGGTAGGCAGGAATTGGAGCCGGGATTGCAATTACGAATTTTAATAATGGACTTTTGGACGTGTTTGGTGTTTGTAGGCATGCGTGGAGCGAGTGGAGAAAGATGAGACCGGAGAGAAGCACGCCACTGGGCAGTACTTTGACTACTGGGCATGCGTGGACAAATGTGTAAGTGGAACAATTTTGTTACAGATCAATAGAAGGGGGAACATGAAACCAAAAAAAAGAATGTGTAAAACCTTTCTCGGCCTTTTGGCTAAGATAATATCTGTTCTGAACAGTTTAATATCTGATCCGTGACCCATCGGGTCACACGATATTAAATTAATTTTTCAGGGCTACGGAGGGGCCATAAGGGCAGGCTTGCCTGCCCGGTCCCTTCAGTGTTGCCTTCGTATTGCACTGCAGCGAAGTGTAGCGCGGCCCATAAAAAAAAAAAAAAAAAAAAAGAATGTGTAAGTGAAACAATTTTGTTACAGATCAATAGAAGGGGGAACATGAAACGAAAAACTGTGCCCCTTGACGGCACTGTTGAAAGAAGTTCATGCATCACGTGTAACCGTTCACAAGTAGCACAAGTAAGTCTTCATGCAAGTTTTAAACTGCATGCTTGCAATCTAGACAAGTAGCACAAGTAATCTTGGTACAATGGTACTGCAAGTTTACAATCTAGACAAGTAGCACAAGTAATCTTGGTACAATAGTAATGCAAGTATACAATCTAGAGAAGTAGCTCAAGTAATCTTCGTGCAATGGTATTACAAGGTTTAAACTGCACATGGCTTAACAAGTAGTGTGTTGTTCTGGCAGCCCATGAGTGGGATGGTCCTCTGGGATGAGAGCCGGGTCTGTGCAAAACTCCACAGTGAATGAAAAATCCTATGATAATTTGCCAGACTGGCAAATTCCTCCTTAGGAAAATGGTTTATGAGTGAATGGTTGAACATCAACATGGGCCCTACACTGGTAATCTCATTACCAGGCGTTTTAATTGTTCTGGCTGGGTTCGACTTCTTCCTCACTGCCTGCGTGAAGGGACTTTGCTAGTCTCCCATTCCAGGTGTTTTGTTTCTTCTGGCATTTGACTTCGTCCTTGCCGTCTGCCTAAAGGGACTTTGCCCGTCTCCCACCATACCCCCTCCAACCTCCGTCTAACCTAACCATGTGCTTACATCCACCTCCATCTAACCACGTGCATACACCCACACACTCACTTAAAGATGCGCACGGCCCTTCTGCTGCTCTACACAAGATTTCTACTCTCGCCGAGCTGATCTTAGGACACCTGTGTTATCTTCTGACAAATGTGCCATGCAGCCGAAACTCCTGACCTGATGCACACAGACGCACATAGACACACACAGACGAACACATGCACACGGGCGCACGTAACGGACACACAGGGACGCATTGTGGTGCCTGAGCTACCCCTATTTCTACGCTCTGCCCTCCTCTCACACCCTTTTTCTTGACACGACAGTCAAATGGTCAGTGTTTACCAGCGGTTCCTTCAAAGAGACTCGGATGCGCTTGGGCTTCAAGTTGCCTTTTCTGAATTCGATGCTGTTCTGCTGTTCCTCCTTCCTGCCGTTTTCTACACCTGCCTGTTTTCGCATCCCAATTTATCCTCTCTCTCTGGCTCTCATTCTGTTTCTGTGTGTGTGTGTGTGTGTGTGTGTGTGTGTGTGTGTGTGTGTGTGTGTGTGTGTGTGTTTGTGTGTGTGTGTG